AATAAATAAAGAAAGAATAAAATAAATCAAAGAAATTATAAAGATTATCTGAGTGAAGCCACTAGTAATCAATATAACTCAAGATTTGAATTGATTAAATAGTAAACTATTAATCAAAAAAGACTATAACTAAAATAAAGATATAAACTAAAATATGAAAACTAAATAACTAAATAAATAAAAAGGGTATGGCTTATTTATAATAGAGATCTTCTACTCTCAAAAATAATAAATAAAAAGTATGACTTATTTATAGTAGAGATTTTTTATTCTCAAAATAATATCAAAAATCAAAAATTAATATAATATTATAATCCAAAAATCCAAAATTAACTTTATATGGTCAAAGGAATAAAATTGAGTGAAAGAAAGAGTACTAATATAATTAAATTAGAAAAGTAATCTTTATAATTATATTTTTCAAACAATTCAATTCAAAATTATTTATTTCAAGCTGGAATAGCAAGTCCTTTTATATATTTTTCAGATACAAAAATTATTATAGTATTACTAGCTAATACTATCTAATATATAAGATATATTTTAAAGTACTATAATATAATTAATTATAAATAGATTATATCAAAGTACATTGAAAAATATCAAAGAATGTTGAAGAATGTTAAAGTACATAAAAGGATATTAAAAGATATTAAAAAATATTGAAAGATATAAGAAAATGTTGAAGAATATTAAAGGATGAGGAAAGATATTTGAGATTATTATCTAAGTATAACTATTCTACTAAAATTAAAAATAATTTTCTACTATACTATTCTACTATGTACATGAATATTATAATACAAAATAATAAAAATATAGATCCTGAATATTAAATAAGATATAGTATTAAAAATAAAAACGTGATAATAAATATAGTAATATATGATATAAAAATAGAGATAATTATGAAATGAATAAAAATTATAATAAAATGTAGTTTTTTATAACTAGAAAAAATTAAGAAATTAAGAAATTTTATGTTACTATAGTAACAATATACTTTCTAAATATATACTTTTTATTTTTTTATTATAATTTCAAGGTGAATATACTTAGAGATATTTAACTATATCTTTTATTTAATAATATTCTATTAATAATACTTTTATTATTATATTATAATTATAAATAAGTTATATAAATTTATATATATATATTATTACTAATTTAATTATTATACATTATATTTTGATTCTATAAATATATATTCAAACTAATTAAGCTAATAAAGTTTATTATATCTTATATTTATTTATATTATTATTATAATAACAAGAAAATTAATTATTTAATATAAAATAAATACTTTATATATTTAATTTATAAGCTTACTATATCAAAATAAAAAGAAAAAAATGTAAAAAAAATAATTTAAAAATTAAATATGAATTAAGAAATATCATTTTTTAATATACAAGATATAATAAAATTATTATTTAGTACTATTAATAATAGAAAAGAAAGTAATATAGTGATATTTATAAATAATACTTATCAAATTATAAATATAAAACTAATCATGAAAATAATATTAATAATCCAGTAGTAATCTTAGTATAATTAGATTTGTATAATGATATTAGTATTATTTTATCTAATAATAATAAGTTTTATTAGATATATAAAGTAGTATTTTAATGAAAATACTATTATATAATGGATTATAATATAATTATTATTATTTTAGTATTTAATAAGACTATTAATAATAGCTATTGAGTTATTATTAGACTTTTTTGTAAATATTCTCATCTATTTAGATTCAAGTTAGTTTTTTATATTTTCTACAAGCAATTATCTAACTATAAAATTACTAATAATTAATATAAGATTTACAAAATTTATTATTTGTTCTAAATACTATTATCTTTTTGATCCTACTAAATATTTCAATGAGATATTACAAGCATTTTGTTTAATTCCAAATTGTAATAAAGAGTTAAAAAAGCTACCAGAATATTCAAAGAAAAATATTATATATGATAATAATTACATTATAATGCCAAATTATTTTGATCTCATTTAAACTTTCATATTATCTTCTAATTGGTTATATAAGTTTTTCCATATGTATTAATAATTAAATAGCTTTTACACTTGTTTTAATATTTTGATATAGAAGAAATAATAATGACATATTATAAATAATTATTAAATACTCAAAACTTGAAATCTGATATCTACAATAGAAGAGTATGGCAAACCCTAGATGATGATGAAGGCAATCAGTTCTTTTCTAGTAATATTTTGGATAGATATTTAGGATTCTTACTGAATATTAATTAGTTTTAACTACATAAATACATACCAACTAGTATTGGAGTTATTTATTTAACTCTATTAAATCATATTGTTATTTGAAATATAATACTTGTTGGAATAATTCCTGGACCATCTGAACCTTCAGTAACAGAAATTCATCCTTATCTGCAACTAATGATATATGAATTGGGGTTATTATAAAAAGAAATAACTATGAAAACCATCAAATATCTACAAGATCATCTATTTTTAGGGTGCTTTAATTCTTATTGCCTGCAGCAAAAAAGATATTTATATTTTTTAAATTAAAACTGGTAAGATTTTTATTTAATTGTTCTTATGCTATAGGTATCTGAATTTGCAGGCCATGCAGCAAAGAATGGTTGTTACTAATATACCTGAAAGTTTGAGATCTTTCCAAATAATCATCCGATGAAGGGAGGTTGTATTAATTTTTCTGGATTTGATCAAGTATATCTCCAGCTTAACAATGAATACACAAATAACTTGCCTTTAGTTGGAGAGATGAAAGTAAAGCTGAACAGACTCGTATATTTGCAGAATATGGAATCTGATATTTACCATTGGTCAAGCTACATTATATGGATCTTATATACTTTATCTGCTATAGAATCTATGCATAATTTGTATCTTGAAATTGTAAAAAAAATATCACATTATTGGACAGATGTACAGCAACATGATACTGACAACTTATTACTTTCAAAAATAGACCCTAAAGAAATTCAAGAAATCATTGATACAAATCCATCAGCCGTATTCCACACAAGATTACTGCAGGCTTTTCATCATTTACAGCTGATCAATGATATAGTTGGATATTGCTATATTCAACATTTATTTACATACTGTAATTATCTTCCTCATAATTATCGACATTGTTGGCAGATGTTTGTTTGTGCGAATGCTTTGTGAGGGCAACGAATCATAACTGATGAGGACATTCGAAGAGGCCATAATTTTATGCTATAATTCTTGCATCTTACCGAATCTCTTTGTGGTCCAGAATTTATTACACCAAATATGCACATGCACACACATTTACACGAGACTATTGCCCAATTTATAGTTTTTGGTATTTCGGATACGAGCGAATGAATGGCGAATTGTCAGCACTACATATTTCAAATCAGACAATATCTATAGATCTCATAAAGTTGATCAATAAACAAATAAACATAATTAGCGAAGCATCAAAGATTACGCCAAGAATTTCACAAACAATGACGGCCAAGCTAGGTCATTTACAATCGCGAGCTAAGATATCAGTTGGGAGTTTAGGTACAGCATCAATTTCGGTACAAGCTGCGCTTGATTTTTGTGAAATATCTTGCAGTGTCTATAAAAAAAATAACTGGAATTTCCTGGAAAACATCACGCAAAATCTCATATCTCACATTTTGATGACAAAACAGTACAGATTCTAGCAAGATACTATACAAAGGTTTATGGATTTACTTCTACACAGCATGTGATCCTAAACCAGACAATCCGTGTGAGTAATATGGTAGAACGTTTTGCTGCAATTCAATTAGGAGACAAGATCTTTGGCTCACGAGTTTCACGCGGCGACCTGAGTTTTTATGTCATTATTTCTTGTATCGATGAAATACGAAGAGCTGGTGAGATTATTAGATCCGTGTATCATTGGCCTGCACAAGTGATGTATTATTTTAAGCACCGTGTGTCTTAACCAAAGGAAACGAATTCTGACCAAACAAATTCAAGTTCTACAGAATATTGCTTAGCATTCGTAGATTGGTTTGATTTATGTAATGATCACGATCATTTTCATATTTATAATCACGAAACGTCTACTCGCAGAGTAGATAATGGTGGAAGGGCACATGGTGGAATGTTTTGTGTGGAACTCTGGGCCAATACATTCCAGACACGGACTGAAGAGTGTATAGTTCCAGTCCATCGTATTTTCTACCAATTTCTTAAAGGAAAATATGTATTACATCGAGCGGAAAGGCATATAGTTGTAGTACCTATAAATCGAAAATTCACAATTTAATTCAAATTTTATTTTTGCAAATAAGCAATATCAGAATTGAATGTGGCATTTGGATGTGACGGGGAACGTATTCTTCGGGTAAAAAATAAATCATGCCATAAAAGGAGGGATGAATGTATGCAAGGTTGATTAATATATGATGTGATATAGCTATCATATGACTGACGAGAAAAATCCAATATAGGTTTTTTCTCCGAGTTTTTCTCATTAGTTGCGTTCTATATTTTTACCCCAAATTTCTCTTAGTTTGATTCATATATTTTCTTTTGATTTATTTGTTTAGTAATATTGAGGTAAAAAAAATATAAGAAGGTTTTTGACACCATGCTTCGATTAGGGAAAAATCAGGTTTTACTTATAAGTTTAATCTAATTTTTACCGGAGATTTATCTTGCCGATATTTTATATTATCTTATGTTTCACTTAGTTTTAACGCATACTTTTTTTGAGTATTTAGCCTAATTTTCATTTTTTTGGTAAAATCATGGCGATATCTAGGGCGAAAACTATCAAATTAAGTTTGACCATACATTTTGACAAAAGGGAAATCCACCTTGTTCGACCAGTGAAAGACCACACAGTTTTGGTTAATAAAAAAAATTCAAGTTATTAAACATTGGTTTTCGCAATTTATTAAAACCAACTATTTATCAACTTCACGCAGCTGAAGAATCTTGCACGTGACATTCTTCAGCACAATCATTCATGTTCTTTGGTATAATAGACCATGCCACTCTTTCTTTAGTGATCCTTTAACACTGTCCAATCTATTAATATAATAAAGAAATTAGATAGAATTAGAATAATATTGTTTTATATATAGTAAAAGATAACAAAATGTATAAAACAAATGACTCTCAGATCTTTAAATAATATAGAAATACAAAACCTTTTCTCTAAGAGAAATACTTGTAAAAATTGCTCCATAAGCATTATAATTCTATCATGTTGGTTAGGTTCTTTCCACCAGAAAAGATGACAAATTGGATTAGCTTCTTTAGTCCAGGAAAGGCAAAATGCATTATTGATTGAGTGATTTGATTGATCCAAGTTTAAGGCTTTTATCTAGAAAAAGCATATGGTTAAAAGAATTGAATAGTTAATAATTAATAACCGAAAATCCCCTTTACCCTTCCCCATAATTACTCAATTACTCACTTTTGGAAACGCCCAAATTGAACAATATCCGTAGATACCGGCACAGGATTTAGACCAACAGGTAAAATTAGTCTAATCGCCCTCTCCCACCCACCGTCACAGTGTACAAATTTTCCCAAATCCACTCAATTCCAACCCATCTGTGACAGTATATGTACATACATTAAATATCTACTTCTGCTTCGAATAATTAGTCATGCTCCTGTCGCATTATGTCAGGACTTCATACTCATCATTAAGGATAATATATATTGTATTAACGTTAATATGCACTGTTACAATTATTTCGTTAAAATCAGCAATTCCGGAAATCATGAAGGGGATAGTCCCGATCGCCAAATATTCCACAACACCGCATACTTTCTGGCCCTCCATTATCCAGCATCACGTTCGTAATCGCGCCCGCACCCCTTAATCGCAGCATTCTTCAGCACACGAGATCGTATTGCGCCCCACATTTTCTAGTACACGTTGTCGATACTATAGATCGTGATAATTTTTCCTCTCTTATTTTTCAGCACACATTGTCGATAATATATATATCAGATCCAAGTTCAGAGGTAATTCGGTAAATTCATTAAATACCGCGAACTTTTTGAATCATCAAGTGTGATATGATGTAATCCAATTTAAGTTATCATTTAAAGAATAATCAAAGTAAAGTGTTTTTATCCAAGTGATTATAAATACCGTACCATTCCTATTTTGTAAATTATCAAAAATAAGCACTCCCAAAAAAATAACTAATTAATTTTATTAGTACGGGATGCCGTTCGCTCGTTAAAAGGTAGGAAAATTTGTAAGGTTTCGTTACACATTACTCATAGGCGTACAAAATAAATAATTTCGGTACACACCAGAATATTCCGTAATCTTTTCGTTGCAATGACAGCAATAAATCTATTAATATTTTATTAATTATTAATACAGTCAGGAGTTTTACCCGATTTGGGAGGCCAGTTCTCGAAAATTCTGAGCAAATCTCGCAATCTGATTGGCTTAATGCAGAGAATTTTCATGACACTTTTATTGATCCAACACTGCCGTAAGAATCAAGCTAACAGTTGAAATACACTTTTACGAGTATATACTTTCAGGATTCACGGTGATCCACGCAACTTTGCAAAGCCGTTTCTCCTCAATATCGAGTTTAATTTTACTAGCACTGTATGCTTTGTTATACACGTTTTAGAATGAGCTCAAAACTTGAAGCTAAAGGTCTACCTTGCATATGCAGTTATCTTTCGAAGGATAGTCAGTTATTATTATCACAATGTGAAGTTAAAGAGAATCAAAGATGATGACATGCATCAGCTGGCACATCAGTGAAGCGATTAATGGAAATGACTGAGTATTTTCCTGAACTATCTTCATTGCTTAATTCTTTAGAAAACTACTCTTTATGTGAAAAGCATTACAACCAGATTGTCAGAAGTTCTTTTGTTAAAATGAAAAGTAAAGTGAATGATTCAAGTTTTTAGATTTGGAAGAAGGGGAGAGAAAAAGAAGAAAGCTTACTGATGCTAATAATGATTCGGGTTCTCCAATTTCAGAGTTCAAGTATCTTTACCAGATCCTAAGTATGAAATTCTTTTGAAAAGGATTGACAAGTTGGAAAGTCTTAATCAGCAGCTATTATCAGAAAATAAAATATTAAGAAGATTGTTAGATGAAAGGCTTACTGATGAACAAGATTATTTGAAGCTGTTAATGGAGATTGCTAAAATAGAATAATGTAATATATATAATGATATAACAAGTTTAATGAAAAATCAAGATCGATTTGGTTTAGATAATCTTTTAGAATATTCTCCCTCAAAATGGCTTTCTGAGTGGAATCTAGTTATTATAAAGTTTATACAGATTCTTACTTATAATAAATATGAAAATTGATATAAAGGAGAAAAGCTTTTTAAGTACACAATAGCAGTTAATGCTATATATGAAGCAAGACACTTAAAATATGTATCTACTGTCAATTTGGCTGCTTTAGCAATTAAGTATTCATTAGTAAGATCAAAAATGGATATTGATATTAATAACTATATAATGAATTCTGATGGATTATTCAAAGTTTACTAATTGGTTAGAAACTTTAGCTATAAAATAGTTATCACTTTCCAAAGATTTCTTATTTTTAGCCTTCAATAATAAACAGAAAGATCAAAAAAATTACTTATATCATGAATTTAATACTGTTATATTTCATATTATTATGAGTTTTATTTCTTTTAACTATAATCAAGATTCTAATATATAAAATATGAATTTCTAATTATATTCTGAACTTTTCTGACAGTTTTGTGAGAAGTTATTTTTTTTTAATATTAGATATGAGAAATGAAATTCATAAAAAGCTTATTAATTATCTTATTACTATTTTAAAAGAGCTTTATATTGAGAAAAATCAAGAAATAAATATAATCAATAAATCAGTATATAATTAAAGTCAAATAGAATATATGAAAAAATACTTAGTTTGTCAAATATCTAATATTGATAATAAGAAGTGAATCTGTTCTATATATAATAATAACTTACTAAGATAAATTTAATGAGTTATCTAATATTATAAATATTATTACAAAATCACAAGTCATTTATTTTTGTATATTTAAAAAGATATAATCAAATCTGGAGAGTGAGGTTTATATATTACAATTATTTATTCCAGATCTAATAGAAATTAATTTAAATTTAGTTTTTAATATTTGGAAAATACTTAAATATATTGAAAAAATATCTAATATTAAAGATGATAGCTATATGTATTTAACAATTTTGATTAGATTATCTTTCTTTAGATCTCTTTTAGCTTAGATCTTTATTTTGTGCTATCTGTATAACAGATTAGCTTTATATTATATTTCTAAGAAGATCATTTTCATTCTGAATATATAGATAATCATTATATATTTAATATATCTAGATTTAGCATATTATTACTTAGATAATTATTATGTATATCACAATTATTAATTTAGATTATTAATATTTTTAATTACATTATTATTAATTATTTCTTTCTAATTTTATTCATTCTTCTTATTATTATATTTATATTATTATTTATATTATTATTAATTATTAGATTATAATTAGTT